CCCTCCACGGCGTACCTTTCTGTATATATATATATATGTATATGTATATATATATATATATATGTATATATATATATAATATACACACACATACACACATACGCTATAATTATCTGCCTGTTATTTATTTCATGGGATCGACCATGCCTGCTTTCCTTGAGGATCTTTGAATATCACCATGCACCTGCGGATCGAGGAAAAATGCTGCAACAAGCCCAGCTACTTTGTGCAAACTGACCGCCGCTAAGGCAAAGGCTCAACACCCGGATTGTCAGCATGTCGGTATTTCACGGTCAAAACCTGCAAGAAGGCCAACGGCTCAGTGTCAGAGAGTGGGACGGAGCCATGCTGTTGTATCTCTTCACATGCCTGATGCTGCGGCACTGTCTCGACGAAGCATTTTTCTTCACCCTGCAAACCAGTCAGATGAGAAGCGAGGGACAGGTCTGGAGCGAACCTCATGCAGGTTGAAGTAGGCTGCCTGCGATGGAATCTTACTTGGCGAGATCGGTGCAAGATCACAAACACAATTCTCAGTTCAGGCTACGGGGCCTGAATCGGGAGGGCCAGAAAGACAAGCCGGGCAACAACCTGTGGGGATGAAGTTCCCGACTGGCTTGGACTTCTCGAAGGTTCTTCCAAGCTGAGGGCACGGAGCGCCCATGTCATCGCACCTCTCGCCTCCGCAAGCTCAAACTGGGCACAAGCAAGGCATACTTGTAATTGAGATCTTGCAAAAGCTCGGCCTTCAGGAACACGGAACTCTCAGCTGCCCCATCCCGCAAGAATTGCGATTTGGGCTCAATCCGCCAAACCAAACATTTGCTGCTTCACACCAGCTGCATCGTAGCAGTCTGCTGACACTACCTGTCACAGGCACGACGGCCAGATCTTTTCCCACCCCTCTTTGCAGGTGAGGCTGTCGAGCACCGATTGATGCTATTCCTTCGCCCCATCAGGCTGCATGTCACCAGACGCAGGCTGCTGGTCCTACTGCTGTCACCGCCGGAACGTTCCGCTGCTGGACTGTACACTGGTTCAATGATGATGTTCACAGGCCACAGCACTTGTTTCTGTGACCAGCTTGCGAAGCCATGATGCCTCCGCTGTGCGCACTAGCAAGCTTGCAGCAATCGTCTTAAAGTCCTGAAACGACACACCTAGCCTGGGGGTCAAGTCATGTAAACTGTGCGCGTTAGCATCAAAGCCTGTTACTCATGGAGAGCACCCGCCTTCCGCCAGTCTTTTGAGGGATCTCCCCTGGCTGAAAGCACTGATGCTCGTCTGAACTTCTGATCCATGCCGTCGATTTCTCCCTTGTCGCCCCAGCCCTTCCAAGAATTAAGCCAGGAACACCCAACTTGGCCACCATCCATGGCGCTTTTCGAGGCGTCTACTGTCATCTCATAGTTGCCTGGACATGCTGTCGCAAAGCAGATAGGACAAGCCGGGGCCTAGGCCGTAGGCTCGGAATCACAGCGGAATCAGCACAGCGATGCAGCGTACCAAATTCTGCCCAGTTGATTTTTAGCTTGTCGCCGTCCAGGGACCAATGCCTTAGCCGGGCGCAGCTTTCTGCCAGATTCGCACCGGTTATCAGTCACTCCCGAAATTGTTTCAGCGCCTGTTTTGAGCGGTCGCATTTTTGCAAGAGAGACGTGCTTGCCACGATCGGGTTGAACATCTTACTCCTCAGACAATGCGTCATCCAGTCGGCTCCAGATCTCTGCAGCTGCCGCAGCATCCTGCTCTCTCTGTGACAAAAGTTGTGCTGAGTCGTCTGTGCTGAAGTGCCCGGTATCCACCTCATGCTGCCGAAGAGACCATGCACCTGAAAATTTGCGACCACACACTATGCATTCACAGCCTGCTGATTCCAGGTCAGGCAACTCCAAATGCCTTGCAGCCTGGATTTGCTGTGGCTCTTCGCAAGCGCCCGCTCTGGGCAGTGGCCTCCCGTCCAGACAGATCAACTCTCCCAAGTCCGGATTCGTTCGCGCTTTGCCGGCGGTGTCGATCAGAAGCGCCCGGAAACGCTCCACTACATCGGGGCTCACGGTGTTGTTGAGGTTCCGTCCCAATTCCTCAGTTCTGAAGAGGCACCACCACAAGCAAGCCACCACGTCACATCTGAAGCAGCATCCTTAATGCTTACAGCCATGTCTTTCGCAAAGTGTCGATGGGATCTTCAACGTGTAAGCCGGCTTTCTTCGTTCTGCCCCAAAGATTCTGAAAACAAGGCGATTCGATCGTTTGTCGCGAAGCCTCACGCACAGAGACGACTTCTTGCTTCCAGTCGAACTTTTCGGCGAAAAAATCGAAGAAGTTCAAGAGTAGTTCTCCAGAGGACATGCTCCTGAGGGCATTGTAACCCACCTTGTCCACATCTTGAAAAGGTACAAACACTGTGTCGAAGCCGTCGTCGGAGACAATACCTTCAGCATCCTGTTTGGCCAGATTGTGTAAGGATGGTAGCCCATCACATACCTGGACCTTACGCACAGTTCCACCGGCAAGACAGCATGCTGAGGAGGCGGCAACTCCAATCGAGATTGCCAAGTGGCAGAGTAGATTGCCTTGCAGCTGCTTTTAACTTGTGTGGACTTTTGGTGTTTCCAGTGGGCAGCGTTCAAAGCAGCAGAACACCCCGAATCTCTCTACAGATATCGAGTTAGCGGCCATCAGGGCGAGGGTGTAGGAAGACAGCATTCCTTGGGACTCGAAAGCAACGACACGCCGTCTTCGGCATCGCAGCCTCAGTCAGTGTCTGTTTCCTGGTCGAGCCCAGTAGCCGACCTCCCTCCCGACGATGCCAGCGGTACGTGCCCAGTGACGCAACGCCAAGATCAGATTTTGGAGCCTGGGGTCAAGCTGCAGATAGGCACCTCGGGACTGCAGAATAATACTTCTGCAAGTCATCCATGCACACACGATTCTGTCGCTCTGGCCTGTAGAGAACTGAGATACGAACGAACCAGATGTGAGCTGTAGAGTGGCATCAGGCGCTGACAGCTCAGGATGCATCTTGCAGCTGAATAGGTTCGCCAAAGGTTGCCACTCAAGTGAACAGAGGTGGACTCCTCTATGCATGCTGTGCCACGCCTGACCCCAAAGTTGTCAGCCGTCTGCAGCCCAAGCAGTGCACATTTCTTGACAATCTCGCGCATCTGTCGAGACCGGGTTGCAGCAACCGTCTTCAGCTCAGCTGCACGTGCTGGGGTCATTGGGATGTAGACGGTTGCGTCAATTTCAGCATCGCTTTCTCCCACGCCAGTGAAGCAAGAGCCGTAGCCAAGAACTTGAACGTCTGAGCCCAGTAGCTTCTTTGAAATTTTCTCGAGTTTGGATAGAAGTTTGGCTCGCCTCAAGCGATCACTCGGCTTTGGAGCCACGGCAGCCCTGAATGCCTCCATCTGATCTTCGAGCCGCGACACCGACGAGAGGCACCGCGTGCGCGCCTGCCCCGTCCGTCGGGCTCTGCAGAGGCAGCCAAGGAGAAAAGTGACTCGCCCACCAAGGCCTCGGCCTGCAGTCGCTGCGAAAAAGCTACTTCAAAGACTTGGGAACTACTTCTGCTCACCAAGCCTGCTGCGTGAGGGCATGGTTCCGTCCACGCTTTCAGGACCGGTTTGTGGGTAAGAAAGAACCAAGAAAGGCGGCTGCCTTGTCCTGAATCAAAGAATTCACTCTTCGGAACCACGCATGCTTGTCATGGAGCTTGGGCATCAAAAGGCAGGTTTCTTGAGTTACCTTCCCTGACAGGCGAGGAGCCTGCTCGGTGGACTTGGAGAAATGCATTGTGGAACATGTGAAGGTTGACACCGGTGGCGGCGGGTCTCAGGCCGCTCATGAAGCTGCCGCTGACGACATGGCAGTGCTCGCCGTTCGGCAGGAAGGACATGCAGAAGCTTGTATGCTGCGGCTTTGTGCCTAAATGCAGCAGGATCCGAATAAGCTTCTCCCAACATGATGATGACAACAAGTCAAAGACATCCTTCACCGGCCATCACAAGCAGATGTAGCCAGGTCCAAAAGACCCGCAGAACGCCTCCATCTCAGAAAAGGTTTTTGAAGATCTGCGCGTATTACTTCTAGCAAAAATCTTGCTACAGCTGTGTCACTGAGTCACGTTACGGTTGCGATCGCTACTAGGCTCACAGTATCAGTACTATAACGATAAGTACTAGTACCATAGCTACTAGCGGCTTCTACTCCTACGAGGCGCACTATCAGCCACTATCATCTGAACTCTGGATGGCGCAAAAAGTGTGCACTCTGTCAGGACACCTAATTGATCCTAATTGCTTCCATGTCGCTGACAAATCAAGCTGTATCCGAGAAGCAGGCGCGTGCGCTGGAAAATCGTCGCACTGGAAATGGTTGTATCCATCGCCCTCGGATCCGGACACCCGTCTGGGCATGCTGCGACAAGCAGATTGACATGTTGTGACCTTGAACTTCACTGGGAACTTGCCGCCTGACCTCAGCACTCGTGCATTACGGCATGCTGCGACAGCCAAGTCTGCAAAACTTTGGCGGCTACCACTCGAAGTCCCACTCGGAGCCAGCACCGTCACCTAGAAGGAGGACCTGCGGGCTGTGTAAGGCAAGGCATGCATCCATGCAGTCTCAAACGCGACCTCAACGGGCGATAACGCCCGGTTGAAGGCGGCCTTTGTCATGCTCGAAAGAGCAAAAGACGCTTGGCAGCAACTTAGTGCTCTCCTTGCGCCAGTTCTTGTCGTCATCCGTCTTTGGAACGGCACTCCCCTGAGTGTGGATCTGTCTTGGAGGGGTATAGTGTCAGCAGTTCTGTCTGTACTGTCGTGTGGTCACAAGGGGGTGCTGTCATCGCTGCATGATCCCGGACCGTTTCTTCAGTTGAAAAAACAATGCAGGGAACGCGGCATCCATGGACTTGGTTGCCGCATCAAACTTCAACTCGTACCTGAGAACACCAGAGAAAGAGCCCACAGGACCTCACAAGCTGCAGTTTGGTACGCGGTTTGGTACGAAAAGATCAAAACAGCGCATCTCTCAGGTACAGGCTTCCCAAACTTCTTCCAGTCGATCCTCGGACGCACGAAGCTGAGAGAGCGGCTCCTCTATGCTCCTCTCTCTTCCTTTTGTGAATCCGAGTCGCTTCACGGTGTCTCCATCAATCTCCCACCTGCGGTCCAAAGCGCACGCAAGAAAGGAAGTGATCCCAATCCGGTTTAAGGAGACGGCCTTGCGGGTGCCTGAAACTTTGGACAGAAGAAGTTGCCTGCCTGAGTGCACAGGGCTTCAGTGAGTGACGTGGGTGGAAGAAAGACGCGCAATTAGGTTCAGGCAGGTCTGAAGCAGACTGGAAACGAACCGCCAGACCAGCTGAAATCGTACCTTGGCCAGAATTAACTGACCAAGCGAACACACACATGCAGTTCGAAGCTTCCTCTCCTTCAGCTGGAACATTCTCGTCAACCTACCCAACAGCCCAGAGTTCGTGCTGGGCATTGCTTGGCCCAAAGCCAGCCAATCACATCATCCCTGGCGCAGCGCACGTGCTACATTGTAATGCCAGCCGCTCGGATACTCCGAACAACATGAATGTCTGACTGAGCTTCCAACGCTTGGGTCATTGTATCGCTACTGCTCGGTGGCGTAAGTTCAAAAAAGTTCAAAACTGCTCGAGCGCACGGGCATGCAGATGTGCAGTCCTTGTTTGTCCCTGCAGTGACTAGAAATCCGTTGGCTGCTGGAACAAGATGCACTAGATGTCTTTTTGAGAGACTGGTGCTCTGATCAACGCAATTTGCCGGTGTGAGACATTAATCTGAACCGCGTATTCCGTGGATATAAAGAGAAATCAAAGTTGCCTGTCGTTCGCAGGAGCAAATTTGCGTGGTCTTTGCCAGCTGCGGAAATTAATTAGCCGGGGTACGGTAGGACCTCTACGCAAATGTCAATGGACTTCGTTTCTTTACATAGTGAAGCCTTGAGATCCCAAACTGGCTCTTGGCCTTTCGGCAAGGAGCAACAGTTCTTTTCTGCAAAGCTGTGCTTCACCACTTCCCGCCCCTTCTGCTTTCGGCTGCCCGTCCCAGCAGTTACGAGCATGGATGTTGTAGGTGCGCCCTCTAAGGAGCCTAGGCACTTCATCTCAAGAAAGCAGCGTCCTTTGGCCTTCTTGAATCCAGAACCGTGTCGTCCACCGGTCTCCGTTGCCAAAACCATCAGCCGAAAAGGCTGGGTTTCTCGTCCGACCTTCAGCTCAAACTCCGGGCTGATGAGCTTCTCCGCATGAGACTCCAGCTTGTGCCCGTCCACGCACCAGCGAATTCGCTGTCCACCGTTCGCTGATGCAGTGCACTCAACTGCTCCGGGCCTTGGCAGCAAGGGAAAAAGCACAAAGCATCGCAAAGCCCAAGTGCACCATCCGAGTCCCTTGCGCCAGTGGCTCTGGCGGCTCTGGCACCTGCCTGGCGGATTTTGAAAGTCTGCGCTCCGTGTACCGAGATGGGAAGCAGGGAAGGCAAAGGGAGTTGTCCCGTGCGGCCTCTGCTTGGCTGGGGTCGACTTTCTGTCATCTGGGCGCGGCGACGCTGTGCGCCCCAATAAGGTGGGCGGCTGCTGCCCCTGCCCATGCGGCTGCCCCTGCGGCTGCCCCTGGCAAACAACGATTGTCGCCATCTGCTGCACCTTCAGCACTGAATTCTGCCGGCCTGTGGCAGGGCCGCATCAGAGCCCTGCTCAGGCTGCGGAAGTTGCTGCTGCAACGGGACGTTTTGGCTATCGGAAGGCACCACCATGAAGGGTACCTCGCAGCCGGCAGTGGGAACGCAATACTTCGCCTAGACGGGCCTAGACTCACTGCTAGGGAAGTCCCAGGCACTCCGACATACCGCATCTCTTGATTGACTGCTGGTGCCTTGGCTTTGGAACCATCGTGCATGTCACTTCGTCTCACGCCGTAGATTAAAGGGAAAATCATTATAAGTCAAGTAAGGTCGGATTCCTTAAAATGAGCCGAGAGACGGAGAGGGACGCTACTTGTGGCCCTTGCGGAGAGGGGCCCGGAGCCGGAGCAGCCGGAGCCGAAACCGGGGCAGCCGCCGTCGCCGGGGATCCTTCCACCACGATTCTCTTGTCCTCCGTTAGAAAGCCACAAAAGCCCTAAGAGGGATGAGTGGCTACAAGTTCTTCAGGCAAGCAGCCGACAGCTGCCCTTCCATCATGAGCTGTTGTTCCCAGAGATCTGGAGTGTTTATCCGCTGCCAGCCTCAGTTCTCCGGAAGCCATGCTTTGACATCAATGCTCTGGCTCTGCTCAACTAGCGCATACTCGTGTCTGCATGGCAAACCCGTCCAAAGCTGCAGCACCTCTTGCAGCGAGTAGCTGGGCTTCTTTTGTGCTGGTGGTCGCTTGCCCGAGATGCCCGAGGCCACTTGCTCCATCATGAGCTGCTGCTCCCATAAGTCTGGGGTGTTAAGCCTCTGCCAACCTGAGATCTTCGAGGCAAGCAGACACGGACAGAGAGAGACAAAGAACGTGAGAGAGAGAGAGAGAGACAGCAAGGAAGAGAAAAAACCAAGGGAAATAAACTGACCAGAAAAGAACGATGGTGCTGAAGAAAACACAACATACGACAACAAAAGCTGAGTGGCTTGGCTTCTTCTGGGCAGGCTGGCGCTTGCTCGATGTGTCCTGACGTCACCCAGAATGCTCTGGTATTGATACGGCTGTCAAGAATCCCAAATGATAGCTAAGTCGCTGTTTCGAGCTGTAGTCAATTGTTGACTCACCCCCTCCCCTCTTTCAGGATGCGAATGATGCGGTGTTGCCTTCGCAACTGCACATCTTTCTTCATATCCTGACTGTGGACCTGCTGCCCTGAGTAACTAGTGAACCCTGCGTGGTCGAAGACAGTCCGGGATGAACGAGATTTCTTGATACGTGGGCTGTGCAAGACTCGCACGTGTCACGACCAGCAGAGAACACCGCTCCTCGTCAGGTGCTTCCTCCGTTTCCTGGCCGTTTGCTTCGGCATCATCACCGTCGTTTGCGCCGGCCGGCGTCTCCTCTTCCAGGTCGAGGGTGCGAGTATGTCGCAGAGCAGGGGCTGTGCCAGCACGACCGAAGTCAGGTCGCTTCTCCTGATGCAAAGCGCCGTCCAAGCACATTGATCCTTACGTTTGTCAATGGGGCTGTCCTTGACCTGGAGGAATGTGTTCACCACGACAACCTTGGTTAAAGCCACGCGGTTTCTCCGTGGGAGTGAAAGCTGCCGAGTGCTCCCAACATGTCCATCGCCTCGTGCTCTGGCAGCTGCGGGAGTGGATCCATAGCAGTCGGGGGTGAACAGCTTGAGCCAGAGTTGTCTCCCGATGTACCAAAATTTCTGCAAACCCTTGTGGAAAGATGACACACTACAGAAGGTTGTGCAACCAGAGGCTCCGTCAACGTTATCAATTCTCTGCATCTTCTGGAACTCTGTCAAGCTCTTCTTCGCAGCACGCATCTCTCGCCGACGTGGCGTGGAACCTTCGGCAGTTTTGCCATGATTCAAAAAGAATCTTTTATCTGAGTCGTCTCAGGGAACAGGTGGTCATCGACCTCAGATATTCAACCAGTGGTGACTGCATGATTCGTAAGGCATGTACTTCTCTCAGGTCTCGGGCCTGGAGACATTTTCGAGAACTTGGGAACTGCAAGCTGATCCCAATCAACCTCCGGGACTGATGCAACTTACATCCGCTTTGCTGTGGTGGCTGTGGTTTCTGTGAAGGCCTCGCATTCGTCTTCGCACTCCGTTTCTTCAAGCTCCTGCTCCACTGACAGCGTGACAGCTGAAATCGTTACATGGCACCACGACAGCCGCACGCAGCAGGCGCGTCCTGGATCTTGGCTTGATGGCTGTGTACCTGCATGACCAAACAACCGAAAGATCGACTTCTGTACGCAGATGGGAACTGGTAAGCTGGGGCACTTTTTCTAGAATGTCCTCACGCCCGGCAGCTTTGAGGCGGTACTCTGAAAACCAGTCGTACAGCCTTACAAGACGAAAGCACTGGCCCGAGGAGTCACATGGAGCTAAAATTGTTTTTACTCAAGCTTCTGGCCAGTCGAAGAAAGCCCCTACAAAGGGAAGGGTCGTAATCTCATAGACCTGCTGCGATGCATTGAAGCTGGACACTCGGGGAGCACGAGTGCATCTCCGGCTCTGCAACAGCCTTTCCGCACCACATGCTTAGACCGTTTGCCAAGCGCTTCGTCCGCAAAGTCTCTGGCGAAATCCGAAAAGCTGTCACACCAAGTGATCCGGCTTAGCATTGAGATGCCTGGCGCGGCCTCGCAATGCAGCCTTTATGCACACGAGAAGGTTCAAGGGCATTCTGGCCTGATCTGACAAACCCTTGCGACTGGGTGAAACGGCGTCAGAGCTCCACGCCTCTTGCCCGCGCCTCGCGGCCGTGACGACAGTGGACGCAGCAAAGCCGTCGTGTGAGTGGGGCCTCCTCGAGCTCGCGAGCCTCGCGAAGATCCTCCAAGTAGGCCTTTGCAAAGTTTCAGGGCCCTGTCGCTGAGACCAGTGCAGTCAAGGACCAGGCCCAGGATAGGACACAAACGATGAAAACAAGCAGGATCAAGCCACAGATAAGCCTGATGGCTGTCAGGGCTTTTGCAAACCGCAGTTCGGAGCATGCTGCTTCAGGCGCAGACCCCCATGCATCAGACCACCTGTACAGAATGTCAGATCTGGTGTCCGAAGAATAGCTGAATAGCCATGCCGGAACCCTGGCAAAGCTTTAACTCTTCAAACCATTGGCATATCTGCACTGCTGTTCACTCCACAGCTCAATGCAGCTTAGCGGGTGCTGGCCTGAAGGGCTCATCTGGCGGATAGTCGTCGTTGTAGTCATAATTCTGAAAAGCCTGGATTCTGGATGTGGCAAAGGCTTGCAACTGCTATGGCTGTGCGACTCCCAAGTCACAGGCTGGTCTGGAGAGCGGCTTTCTAGCTGGTTCCTTCCTGGCGAGCCGAGCTTTCGGGGGGCCATAAGCGCTCCCCTGGCATGCGGAGCACTCGCACAGCATGTCACAGCCTGTCAAGCGTCGGAGGCTTCATCGATCTGCTTCCGCCAGAGCCTCAGCAAGTTGCCACTGCACCGTCTCACGTTGCTCCATGCTCCATAGCTCCAGTTCAAGAAAGCATACTGAAAGGGAAGCTCCCGACTGTTTCGCTCTGCAGCGCTCAGCCTTACTCGCGACCTGATGCCAGGCACATAGCGAACAAGGAGCTCCCGCCCTGCTCCCGTTGAGCTCCAGGCGGAGCATCATCCTGAGTTTTGAGACTTGCACTCTCTTGAAGTTCATAGAGACACTTGCAGTACGCCTGTCTCCGCGTAATGAGCTTGGGGCATCCTCATCATCTACCACCGGGTTTCTGAGGGGTATGGACGTCAAATCCTGCCAGTCTCTTCAGCTAGCACTGTCCGATTGTGCGGAAAGCACTTCGACTGGAAAACTGGTCTGTGGCCTGCATGAGGGAGATATCATCGCTGTTGTCTTCGGCCATGATGGCCCTTACAGGTGCAACTTCCGACTTGTCACATGCGAGCGCTTGGAACCGGGCTGCCAGTAAACATCAACAGATGAGGCCTCTCAAACTCTCCGCAGTGAGCCGGCTGCGGCCGCTGTTGAGCCAATCGAACGAGATGCAGCGGCAGAAGGATACAGCTTCGGCAGCGCACAACACAGCGTTTGCACAAAGCATCTTCCACAAAGCAAAGTGCCGCACCCACTGCATGCCGACTATGCTGTAGATTCTGCGGAAGACATCCATACCTGCGATCACCTGTCCAAGAATGAAAGCATCGACAAGGCAAGGCAGACTCGAACTGGAACCCCATGCTACTGCGTGATTCAGTCTCTCTTCCCTGCCAGCGGGGCATCAGCTCTGCTACTCCCAGAACTCGAAGCAGCTGAGACCCCAGAGCCCGAAACCCTATGAGCCGCGAGAAGCCCAAGGCGGCTGCGGCTACAACTGGCTCCACAGCTGCACGCAGTTGCACGAAACACAAGACCGTTGCCTCTCCGTCTCGTGTCACGGCATGAATATGTCGCATGCCATCCTCGACAGATGGAGACGTACTGATGAAGAGTCGCACAAACCCACACACACAGACCTACAACCCGAAGGTGGAAAGAAACGAGAGACGCTTGACGATTCTCTCTGGAGATTACAGACTCTGCGCAAAGTGCATGCAACTGCCGCATCGACAGCCTCGCAAGGAAAGCCTAGCAGGCAGTATGCTCATGCAGATTCCTCGAAAACGACTCCGCCACAAAGCTCAGGATCGTAATCTGCGCAGCGTGAAAGCTCTTTCTTGATATGCAGGCAGGACTACACGACGCATGCCATGTGTGGTGAATGACAAAGGATATCTACTATTTCCCAGACCTACGTGTCGAAGTGCTGAAAGTTCCAGCAAGCGCCATACGAAGAGCTTCTGCTTTCGGGGCCAACACCATTCTAAACTTCCGAGATCGTGCTCTTCGTTCTCAAGGTGAACATTTCGTGAAGTCTTACTGCCACCGCGCCTGGGGCATGCAGGTTCGTCAGTGCGACAAGGCCTTCGTACTCGGGGTTCTCGTCCATGCGCTTCTGCAAGAATTCCACCTGCTTGCATCACTGGCTTGATGGGTCCCGCTGATATGGAACTCAGACTCTGAGGCTTCGTGCCTGCTTCATGCAGGATGGGCAGTCACCATCATAGAGCAAGTTGATCACCCAGCGGTCATCCTCCAAGGAACAGTGTCACTGGTGAAGGTATGCCACACGATCACATCTCTCTCTGCACCTTGAGATGCTGCAGCGTCAGGGGCTGTACCTCACCTGGCTGCCAGAAAGCAGCGCAGTGATCTCTATCTGCTCCGAGGTCCCAGCTCTGTGGAGTCTGTGCAGTGTCCTCTTGGGCACCGTTCACCGTCTCCTGTATCAGCTTTCATCCGTGCGGAGGACGTAAGACTTAGCCGAGTCTGGAAAAACAACCTGCAGTTGCACAAGTGCTGATGCCGTGTGCTTCAGATCTTTTTCGCTTCAAGCTGATGGGTCCACAAACTAGAAACACGCGAGCACGACAAGACAGCAACCTGAACATTGACCTGCCAATCCTTCCATAGTCATAGCTCCTGCATGACTTGAAGCCTTGATTCCTTGATCTTGCCCATTACAAACCTGAGGTGAGACAGGCCTTGCCGCGGAAGCGCACCTACCGCCGCCTACGCCTTCGTCTCTTGTGTTTCCGTCGGTCAGAAGAATAGCTCTGGCTGGCCTGGTTGCAGTTTTCTCTGCAAACTTACGTACATTCGTGTACCCAGAGTGAGACTCCATCTGAGAAACTGGCCGACGACTCGCCTCGTTTGCGTCTGCGCGACCTGCAGAAGAAGCGAACAAACAAGCACGCAGGCGCAGAAATTAACATAAACAGGCACTGACCGACATACACATTGTCACACAAGTGGGTGCATGCAGTTACATGCCACATTCCGCAACATCGGTCCTAAACCCTGATTTAGAATCGTCGGTTGCCAAGGAGCTTCTGCTTGCCATCCTTGCTGGCTGCAGCATCCTGCAACCGTAGCAACCACAACGCTGACAGGACATGAACCTGGCTCTTTGCAGCAAGGTGCAGTAGCTTGGCCTAGACATCACAATAAAATCTGCCAGAAAGACAGAATGCCCCCCTGCGTATGAACTCCACACCCTTTTGGAGGACACGTCGATACCGAAGAGCTCTGTGTTTGAGGCAACGCTGTGGATGCCGTTGAAGATCTTGTCGCTTCTGAGCGGAGACTAAATACCGAAAAACTGGTGCACAAGTTGCAACCACACTTTCGTTTCCGCATCGGAGGGAAGGTCCGCAAGCAAGAGTGTAAGATTCCAAGGTTTCAGCCTTGTTTGCAGGAGCATTTGTTGAAGGGCCTTCGTCCTCCAGCCCCGACACTGTCCAAACTTGACTTGGCTTTTGCCCTCCGACACGCACATCGAAACTCTGTCCTTCCAACGATGAGGCCCGACGGCGAAGCACACCCTAATTATCATTAATGTGACAACGATGAAAGCCATTTCCATTACAGAGTGATACAGGCGTGGTATAATATGTCGCACGAAGCTATAGCGAACACTAGAAATTTAGAACATGGACTTAGGATGATTGGTGCTGGGATTCCATATACTTTACCTCAGGCGAATGAGGATGATGATGTTCCAATTTTCTGGCTTCTACTATCTATTCAAAAAAGATACAACCAACAGGTCGATCAACGGTATCAGGAAGTGGAAAGCGCTGAACAATACAAACAAACACACATGAATACAGGTTCTACTTCTGCAGAACGATGGGAAGCAAAAAAAAGTTCAACCGAATGGTGGCAAAGGCAAAATTTTGGAACACAGAGATGGGAAAATTGTAACACTGTGAAAGCCACCGCATTGACCGGTGTTCTGCCTTTACTGAACTGTTCTCCAGTTGCCCGTCCTCCACCTTTCCTTCAGCCTTTGTGGAAAATATAAGCACAAGCTCTTTATCAAAAGAATCAACTTTTCACACCACCACCACCACCACCACCACCGCCGCCGCCGCCGCCGCCGCCGCCGCCCGCAGGAGCAGCACCCTATCGGCACTCGGCAGCACCAGCACCACCTCTTCCACAAACAGGAACATTTTCAAATATCAATCACGACAAGGACAGCAAAGACCAGGACCACGAGAGGAGGAGGAGGAGGAGGAGGACCGCCATAGCGACGAACACACGACTCGTGCTTGCTGTTAGTGGATCCATGCCATCGCTTGCAGGAAGTGCCAAGCAAGAACGCAAGTCGGGATAAGGCGGGGGAAGTCGGCATAAGGAGTACGTGGAAGAGAGAAGTCTACAGGTTCGATGCATTGAGAGCTTGGCTTCGGCAGCCACCCCGACACTGGAAGGACAGGACGCCATCGAAATCCTTCGAACCCTGCGCTGCCTCTGCCCCAGCTTCCTGGGAAGCCACTTCCTTTCGTGACTTGCTTTTGTCACGCTGGGAGTCGCCCTTTTTTCTTGACCTGCTCCTGTCTTCGTCTCTTCCCTTGTCCTTATCCTCCGCAAGCATAGATCACGGTTCAGGCTATCTTCAGTCCAGCAACCGCCAGCTGTCAAAATCGAAGTAAGTTTATGCCAGGCCTTTTTTGCAGCTTTCTCTTCGCCGGTCCCTTTGCTTTTCGTCTTAGTCTTCTCCTTCTTCGATTTCTTTTCTTCAGTCTTTGAAGGGCCGTTGGCGTCCTCGGTTGCTGCCACCTGGTCGCCATTGACCTGTGCGTCAGCTCCAATTCTGCTTCCAAACTGGTGGAAGCTTCGGCAATGCCTGGCCGCCCTGGCCTGCCCGCCTGCGGCTTTTGCGGCCTTGTCAGCCTTCAGGGTGCGTGCTGCGTGCTGCATTGCGACAGATCTAGAGTTCCTCGCAGCGGCGGGTATCTTTTTTTCGATCAAGCTCTTGCCAGAGCTGCCTCTTCAAGCTTGGCAGCAACCGCTTCAGCAGCAGCTTTTCGGGTTTCTGCCTGGGCACTTGCAGATTGTCTTAGGCTCCTGGCCTTTCGCTCTTCCTGGCCTTGCTCTTGGCCGCTACTCTGCCCACCTGGCGAGTTCTTTAGGTGCCAAATCCACGCCCTTTCGGCTCACCGGGCTGGGCCTTCCTTTCATCTTTCCTGACCTCTTTATCTTTATTTGCACCTCGGACAAGCGAACTTCCTGCCTGTTCAGATTCAGGAGTTTCATGTGCAAGGTCCGAGGCTGCGTCCTTTGTCCTTCAAGGCTGCAGCCACGCAAGGGCGCACGGTAACAAAAAAACTGTTCTCGGTCCTCGGAGTCCGAGGATGAAGAGCTCGAGGAAGAGGAACTTGAGGACTTCGCCCCACCGGGAGCAGGTGGCCTGAGGCTGAATGTTGAGGCTGTTCGCTGGGTTTCGAAGCTCCACTGCTCTGGGGCTCTGCGCATGCCGTAGCCAGGCCAACCCCATGCCGCAGCTGCCGCTGGGTTCCAGCCACTATACCTCGGCTGCAAGGCCATGGGCTTCCCGTGAGCACATGCGTGAATCCTGGGCGGCTGCCAGTTCGGTGGCGGAGCCGTGTATGCAGAGGCGGGTGGCGCAGCGTAAGCCTCTTCACAGTACAACAAGACAGCACAAGGCAACTGTTGCCCGACCTTCCGTCTTCTGAGCTCCTTGCCGGAGCTGGAGTCGGAGATGGCCCAGCTGGCCAGACAGGTGCGGGAGGGGGTGGAAAGTCCATGATCCTTGGAGCATGTACGTGGACCAAGTGGATGTGACAGACGCGGGCACATGCTGAGAACGCTTCTGTGGATCTTGTGCCGGAGGCTTCGACAACGTTTTTAACCTAGATGGCTCCAACGGTCCAGCCGTGTCAAGGCAAAGCTTGCCAAGCCCTTGACCCCAGGCCACTGCTCGACCCGCAGCCTCCTGACCTGGGCAGAGCATGGAAACCAAACGCTGACACTTGGTGAGGCCAGGCCAGATGAGTGTGCTTTCTGCTTTCCATTTATGTGGGATGGTCCGCTCATTCCCCAAACAGTTTCTCGGATCGCGGTGCATAGTTTCGACCAAGATCTCACATCCTCGGGCCCCCCCGCCCGGGACATGGAACCCAGTTCAGAATCATACTTCGGCGCTCCCTATGAATTTATTCGTGAATCGCGCTGGTGCCACAGTGCCGGCGTATTCTGGGGTGTTTCACGTGTATTTGGGGACTCTCCTCTTCCCCCATGCATCCCCAAATCGTGCTCCCGCCGGTGTCCTGCAATTGAGTTTCCACACGGTCGTGGGGAAGGCTTCTGCACATTCAGTCAGAGATCTTGGCCCTCGTTGTCTCGTTGTGGCTCGCCACGTTCTTTGAAAAAGGCGTCAGACACGCCTCTGGGCATGGCAAGCTTATGGATTAGGTTGCAGTAGAGAAGTCACCGCCAAATCTGTGACTTGTATAAACTTGAACCTCAGCTCTGGCGAGTCTGACTCCGGCCAAGTGGAACGTTGCCTTCATCTCCCTTTCGTCTACCTCTCCCTTTCGTATACAGGGTCCCCGGACGGAGGCTTGGCACTGGGCCCCAGCATTGGATTTGTGCACGATGACTTGCCAGTGCTGATTTTCCACTGTGCTACACAGTTGCACCGCTGCTCGTTCTAGATTCAAGGGAAACAACTGGAGGGGTGCCGGACGAGAGCGCATACAGACCGTGGCGTCATCAGTACGAGACAGGAATGATCTTTTCCAACGCTGCACAGAGCATCTGACATCCTTCCAAGTGGCATCGACCACCTAACACAAGTGTTATCACGAAGACTGGAACGAGCAATGCCACCCTCACGATATCTGATTGGTGCTGAACTGTTCAACTTGAACCGTCTGATACCGATCGTTCCACTGGCAATCTTCACTGCGCCATTCGGCTTCTCCGTCGGAAGGACCCACAGCAGACTGACAGATCGAGAAGTGGCTCAGGCGGATGCAGCTGAGCATGTGAAGTTCCTGAAGCAGATCCAAAAGGCCCGAGCCAGAGCTTCTCGCGGAGGGCATCTGTAGGAGTCACCGGCGGAGGAGGCCTCGTCGTTTGGCCAGCAGAGCAGCTAAGTTGGCTCTAATTCTCAGCCGCCAATGCCTCGGCACCACGTAGTCATAGCCTCCTTGGCCCTTTCCGTCTTTGCCTTTGCCACCTATCTCGCTGCCGTCGAATGTTTCTGCGACGGCACAAACAACACGATCGACTGTGGGCCTCCAAATGCTCCGGCATTCTGGTTTTCAGCCCAGTTGTCAGCCTCCTCCTGTAGTCGCAGAGATGTGTGGAATCTTTACGGACTGTTCGGAGCGTCGCTGCTCCTGCTCCTTGATCGCGGCTGCTTTTGCTGCCGCAGCGACACGCTCCGACAACGACAGTGGAGCTGTTGTCCTACAGAGGCTTCGTCGTAGTCTACAAGTCTACACATCACAGCCTTTAAATAGACCAAGTTGCCCAGTGGGACATGGAGAGTCTGTGAGGCAACGCTTGCCGCCTTCGCCATCGTCCTCGCGGACGTGAGCAGAGAGCCCCAAGCCTCAAAGTAATGCAAGCAGCCCAAAACAACCCACGGGTCCTCTAGGAAGAGGAAGTCGCGCTGAATGCCTGAGCATGCAGGGCGGCTGACTATCGCAGCAGCACCAGGGCTCGTCAGTCATAGTAGAAACGGTAGACGGCGTAATCCTGAGCCTTCAGCCATGAATGGAGCAGCGCTCAGTTGAAGGAGCAGGGCCTGCAAGCTCTGCTCAATCTACTTCATGTCCCCTTCTTGCAGAAGCTACCTTGAATGCGACTGACAAGACTCAACTACAGCGGCCGCCTTTGCCGCCCTTCCAGTCGCCCTTCCAGTCGCCCTTCCAGTCGCCCTTCCAGTTACCTTTCCAGTCGCCCTTCCAGTCGCCTTTCCAGTCGCCCTTCCAGGCACCTTTCCAGCCGCCCTTCCAGGAAGCGGCACCCTTCCAAGCCCAGTCAGGGCCACCTTTCCACGATCCATCACCACCTGCACTGAACGCAGTGCGAGGACAATCTGTTGAAGACAAGCTTGGTAGCCTCACCTTTGCCTTTGCCATAGAAACTCATCGAAGATTCCCCTTGGATGTTCTGCCACGAGAGAAGAAGCAATGGAACAAGTTGTGTTACGGACTTTGAGCTGACACACCCAATGCGTTGATCTGAGCACGCAGCTTGGTCGGCTCTCGAGCTCGTGACCGTCATGACAAGTAAGGCAGGTGAGTGTGTGTGGATGAGTTTATGCGTGTCTGAGTTCTGCGGTATGGTTGCTGCTTGCTTTCAGGAGATACGAAATCTGTGTTCTGGTGAAAGCTGGGCAAGGATTCTAGGGGAATCTGTAGTTCCCCGATTCGAGCACCAAATTTACTGTCAAAGTTTCAAGCTTTCTCCTCTTGACAACTGCAACGGTGAGCGGCTATCATTCTGGGTGAGTCTGCATCAGCTGCTTTGAGCATTGCCTTCAATATGTTTCATCCAAGCTCGTAGATGCAACTAGGGTGGACATCATGGCGATGGTGGGTGAATCGTTCAGCGCGTGTACCTGTCGCTGTGCTTGCCCCATGCGGTGTTTGCCATACTCGCCGCCTCTTGTGCTGCATGGGCTCTAATGATGCCATCCGGAACAGGGGGTCGTGAAGCATTAAATCCAACATCCAGTCTGTGTTGACAGCGCAGCACGCTAACAACGGAGCAGTCATAGCAAGGGATGCGACACTGCCAGGACATGCTGGACATCAGACCCATGGCAGAAAACAACAACTCGCATCTCCTGGCTCTGTGCTGCTTCCTCCAGCACAGTAATCTCGTCGAGCGAGAAATGTGCTGCAAAAGCCTCGGACAGGACATAGCAGTACGAAATGCCACTCCTTAGACTTGCAATCTCCAGGCCTTAAAACCTTCCTTCATGTCGGGCGCCTTTCCCAGCACAGGCCCAGGGGAACATCAGAGCCAAACAGAACTCGGACCGCGGTTCAATCTGCCTTGGAAAGCTTGACCCGGATTGGTCGATTTGGTGTCAAGTGCACATCCTCAATAACCGACACCTCAGCTCAGGCTTCTTTGAGAGATACTCAGACATCGTCTTTGTGCATTCAAAAGCACCACGTTGCCCTCCAATCCTTTCGGGTTGTATGGCTTCCTGGCAGCGAAAGTTCTCATAATTCCCGCATGCTCATCTTCCAGACTGTTGGGCGCACCCCTTGGATCCGGGAACGTGCCAGAAAACGATGTCGTCCGCCACTACCTCGACAGACATGCCCGAACCCAAACACCGCAAACGCTGAAAGCTGAAACATGCTGAAACCCTAGCTAGACCGGCAACACCACTAAAGTAAACTCCATGGGGTGGCAAAAAGAGATCTTGATCGGCTTCTGTTTTCGCAAGACTCAGGCTGCACTGCGCTCGTCTGGCGGAAGTGAAACGCACAGGTTCATTCCACAAGCATCGCGGACTGCTCATGTCGGTTCTGGCATTTGCTTGCCGCCAAGCACCTCTGCCAGTGACATGCCGAGCACAGTGGGCGACAACGAGGATGCGCCTTGAACTGCGAGAAGTACTGTCTTTCCAGTTGCCTGCGCGGTGCTCAAAACATGCGGACATCGACTCACGTCTTCGGAGTTTTCAACGCGGCACCTGGCCATGGCGTGGCCTTCCTCAGGCCTGTTCAAAAGATGTCACTGCAAACCGCCTTCTACTTGTCAGACAGTCTAGTGAGTCTAGTATGTCCGAGTGTTTCGGGATCTTTGAAGCCACGTCAAGACAGCAGCTGCATGTCTTGCTGTGGGTACTCCCAGTGCTTGTCTCAGCAGGCCTCTAAGCAAGCTCTAGCAGACCGAATCTTGTGGGACGAACTACTCAACTCAGAGTGGTTCCACTCTGACACAAACTGGAAGGAGACGCCCCGCAGCGTAGAAGTCCCTGCCTCATGGGCACCATGCGTTGCTGCGAGGCCCTGGCGGCAGCCTCCTTTTCTGCCTTCCTCTGGGCCTTTGGCGAAGCGCATGCGCTCTTGGAGCCATGAACAGGAATTTGGAGTGCCAGCTTCAAGCCTTCATCTGCTCCAACTCTGCCAGAGCCACCTGCTTTTGCCTGGCCTGGAGTAGGAACCAAGAGCAAACACCTTTACTACCTGAAGCCGGACTTGCCGGAACCTCTGCTATTCGCATCTGGTATTGCTGGAGCTCCTGCAGCACAAGCGTTGATCACGCCGCTTGGCGACGGCATCCACGGTATGCCCGGAATGCCCTGTTGCAATCGTGTTCCTCCTCGGCCTTCCTCTTCTTGTTCGAGGATCCGGAAGAGGAATCTGAGGATGAAGATGAGGAGGACGACTTCCTCAGAGCGGTAATCGAGCATGTTGCGCCGTTAGGCCGGCGTTCAAACGCGCGGTGTATCTGGGGTGCTGCCAAGGCTCTTCTTCTTTTTCTTCTTCTTTTTCTTGTCCTTCTTCTTCTTTTTGTCTTTGCTCTTCTCCTTCTTCTTGTCCTTCTTTTTGTCCTGCCACACTACCGACGTCTTGGGAAGAGCTGCTGACAGCAGTTGGCCCTGTCCTTGCTGCTTCCAGCCCCAGGAATTGACGGTTCCATGACTTTCTTTTCCATGAAGTCCAGCGGGTGCACTCCCAACTTCTTGGACTGCTTGAAGAACTGCCTTGGGCACACCCAGTATTTGCACAGCTGGCTAGCATTTGGTGAAAGTAACGAGCACGTGCGTATGTGTGCAAGTCAGTCACAGTGGGGTGTATGTGTGTTTGCATGTCTCCGTCTCTGTCTGTCTGTCTGTCTGTCTCTGTCTGTCTGTCTGTCTCTGTCTGTCTGTCTGTCTCTGTCTGTCTGTCTGTCTCTCTCTGTCTGTCTGTCTGTCTGTCTGTCTGTCTGTCTGTCTGTCTG